GTGTTCGGTATGGAATATGGCGAATCTATTTAATCCGCTAATACTGATTGATGTCTTTAGTCCGCTGAAATGTATGCATTGTTGATACGTGAAATGGTCTGACTAATACCATGACCGACAGCCAACGCACGTAGGATAGAATTCCGGATCGAATAACCTTTGGTGACATTTGGAGAAAATAACTTTGGTTAGAGCTTTGTTCAAAATAGTGATAGGAATGTTTTCAGTAAGTAAGTATAACAAAGAAACTTTTACTCATATGTAAAATGGAAAAAAAATCTCACAGAGAACCAATCGAATAATCAAATTTTAGTCTATTAATCAAATGCGAATATTAATATACGCAAATACTTTCTGAGGCCTTAAATTTTAAGCTTTTCTTATGTAACTAAACGATTTGTTTGAATTTCTGTACTTTTTGACGCTGCAATCATAAACATAAACTTTCACATACTTTGTTTCTTTATTTATAAAGCTTTTAATGATATCTTGTGTGTGAGCAGGTTTGATTTCTGGGCATTCACTTATTGAACGTGAATGTGGAGATAAAATAGTTAGATATAAAAATAAAGAACAGATATATAAAAAAAGCATAACACACCCAATAATTATACGATAAATACCATTACTGCAATGAGACTAGATAACATTACTACATTGAGACTAATGGGACTAGAGAGCGTTGTGTAAAATGTGTCCTTAATATTTATTTATTTAATGCAATGATTTTCGTAAAATCAGTTTAATGATCAGTATTTACATCCATTATAAATTAATTAGGGAGTAAAATATAATGAACAACTAGGAGAGAGTTTGTTGTGTTGTGACTTGTGTTAGATTCCGTTCTATAACTCATGAATCCCTTTTCGCGCTTAATGTTCTCGTGCAAGAGTGTCGTGACACATCGACAGAGCAGTACAGCCACAAGGATAGAGAGTAATTCGGGAAGCTGACGGCCAACCACCAATAATGGAGAGGCACCCAAAGAAGTATTATTACATTACATACATATTACATACATTATTTATTTACTCAGTTGCACCGACAGAGTAGACACCATCACAAGTTAAAGAATAATAAACCAAAACACTAGATTGGTGCTACTCCAACAATAGGTACAAACAACATGCAAATCATCAACAGTGTTACAAATTAAGAATTAAATTAAAATTACCAATACGAAATAAATTAATCATTACAATAAAAATAAAAATAAAAGAAGAAACCATTACATCTATCACACTTTAATTACACAAGAAATATACTTGGTAGGTTACAATTGTTAATCTGCAGTCGGATGCATGTAATCTGTTTTAAAACACAAGGGAATTTGCACAAGAGGAATTTTTAGATTTCGCACATTAGTGTGTGATCCATAAATATGAATATATAGCATAATAATTATTACACATAAAACATGCTTTCAGAATTTCTCTGCATGTGCCTCGTCGCTCTTAAGAGGGCGTGAAACTCGAAGGATGCTTGGAAGCGAGAGAAGCTGAAGAGCTCTGCTGAATATTTTTAAGGCCGCGTTGATCTTGTCTCTTGGATCGGATCTCGTCTGGGTTCATATTTGACTTAAGTGTTCTTTCGCCCTAGATCTGTCTTTGGCTGTTTTTTTTTGTAACCGCTCAGACCCGCTATGTGCTCCTGGATTGGCTATTAGGTGTCATATTACATTTTTTGGTGTATTTGAATACACTGCACATGCTAATAATTATATATATTTCATAATTAACTTTTCCGAGGTGAAAACTTGATTGTTTTTATTCGATTAAAAAAAATGATCCTAATTTATGAGAACCACAAAAATGAAACGGGTAGTAAGGCTAAGGCAACGATTTCATTTTACGGATGATGATTGCCATTATTTGAATATTACTTTTGTTAGAACATTACGTTTCCAGTGCCACAAAAAATGTACGGATTTTAATTTAATAAAGATAATAGCAATTAAGAAAATAACTCTATAACGAATATTTCTTTAAAAAAAATTACTCGGGAAATATTAAGTCCAGCGATGTCTCAGTTTTCGTATAATTGACGTTGTCGTTGATTTATTTTAGAGATGACTTACATCTGTCATTTTTTGTTAGAAAAAAGGAAACTGGGGAGGTTTTTCTATTAGCGATTTTGGGAATATTTTTCTTTTTCCTTCTTATAAAATCTGTATAGTGACGAAGCTATTTCTCACTTAGAAATAATATATAACGCGTTTGTACTTCGTAATGATGTGTGTCCAACGAGATTTTTTTGTAAAGAAATATTATACGCTTGTTAAACTCTGATTTTGTTTCTCTTATGTCTTTCACCACTTTCTGGTTAGACAGAAAAGCTCAACACACTTTTTTTTTGGTATTGTTATTATTAAAACTTCTTTGTACATTTTCTTTATACATATTTAGTTCAATTTAAGCATAAAAATTAGATAAACCCTTTAATACTTTTGATGTTTTGTTTTTGTTCGGTGTTTTGATAAAACCTTATCGAACAAAGAGTACTCTTGCGTAACAATCTTAGCGACATAAGTAAGACTTATGTACTTACCCGAAAGTCCCAAACTGAATTCTTGCAGGACCAAATCACCCTTAAGGAAGACTTAACATAAAACCTTTGTGCGTAATTACTCCCTTATGACCACATAAGTTCTAATCTTGTATTTTTAAACAAGATTATCTCAATGAGATTAATTCCATATATTAAGTGATGAACGAAAGTATGAATTATTAGGGAAGCTAATGCCAATTTGTTTAATGTAATGTAAAATAAGTTAATGCCAATCTTTAAGGCAAAAGTTTCAATTTTTAATTTAAATCTATAAGCAACTGATTTACTTTATATGAAAAAAATATTAACTTAGTTTCGTACGGAAAACGTAATAAGAAGACGTGATTATATTTAGCCTCGTCGAAAACACATTAAAATTTTTTTTCTTGTCATGTGATTTCAATTAAGGTGTTTAGGTTTATTGTTTGGAGTTGATAAAATATTTCTTTAGTTTTCATTTTTTATTTATACGTCATCGTTGACGACATTCAGCTTTCACTGCTTTAATAGCTTAAATTTGATATATTTATATTATTAAGATACATTATGCACTTATAAATGTACGGGGCAATACATGTATACATTTATATATATCTTTTGTCATTTATCACCACCCAAGCTTTATGAGTTCTTTACATATTACTTTGAAATTGATTATTTAACAAGAAATATTAATCTTGAAAAAAATTAACGAAATTGTTTGGAGAAAAAAATCTTAATAAAAGTTTAAGTAGAAGTAGGTACTTGTCGTCATATTTTTTATTGGGGTCCTGGCAGAAACGTCTTATTTCTCTATTATTATTTCCTTGAAATTAATTTGATAGTCAGGTCAGCTTACATTTTGGTTTCACATAATTGATTTAATTTTGATATGACGAGATCGTATGTTAAATTATTTTTATTCAAGGGAAGAAAAAAGTGTATCTCTTAAATGCATGCATACTATGCTATAAAAAAGAACTGTATTAAAAAAAAAACAAATAAGCGTAAACGAAAATATGACACGCCATTTTTTTAGGCTTCCATATCAAGAAACCATAAGCTATTTAATATTTTTAATATAAAATTCTTTATTAATTTGTAAGCAAATTCAGCTCTTACAGAAGAGAAAAGCTAAAGGCATTGTGTATTTACCTTTGTCATCCTTAAAGTAATTGCAATAAGGGATAAATAAATAAAATTTCAGTATTATTGAATTTGTCTTAAAACAGTTTTAATATTCTGAATTGAATGGATTTTACATAATACTTACTACTACACATATTAATGTTTGAAACGTCTAAAGTCTAAACCATAGGGTGGGTACAAGGTAAAATGGCACTAATATTAGAAATTCAAAATTTCAAACGTATACAATGATATTTTATGTACTACGTACAATTAATTAAATCAATCTATTCTGCAGTTCGATTTGATGATGAATTTACTATGAATATTATTAAATTTATCTGGATACATTCGTAGTTTTTATTACAACTTTTATTTACATCCCATACCTGTAAATGTTAAAATAGGTAGATAAAAATTGGGGATGCGAGTAGTAATCCATCTCATCTACGACTACTACGAGTGCTATCGCATTTTATAATGTACCATATATATACCACAGATTCAACGGATATTTTTTTGATCCAGATAAACTTTTCAAATAGAAACGTATCAATTTAAAAACATTAACAATTAAACCAATTAAAGTTTCCTCTTAAAACTCTTATAATTCGTATGAAAAATATTGGAAAAACGAACGGTTTTTGTTTTGAAGGAAGAGAAACACAACAAGCATTGACTATTAATAGTTAAATCATCCAATTGACATACGAAAAACCTTTCAAAATCTATATTAAAGATGTATTCCATATTTATATATTTATACTGTATATTTTATAATAGATCAGTAATATCAAAATGAGACTACTGATTATATAATGTCACCGATAAAACTATTTCTTAATAAATTAATAATCATTTTCATAACAGACTAAAATGTAATACAATGACTTAAATGTAACCAATCATCCAGCCAACAGTCATCTATACATTATATCAACAAAAGATATACATAAATAAAATTCGCCATCTACCTCTCTAGTATACCGCCCTTTCGAATAACACTACTCACTCACTAATGTTCGACTAAACTATAAAGTTTCAACTACACTTGTTTGCCACAATTTATTTTTCTTGGCGTCAAAGTAATTATTTCATGGTCATTATTCATATGACCAACAACACTAATAGCATAATAAAACATAATATACAACAATTAATGCTCGTTGTATGAAAATTTTCCAACATCTTCAGTGGTAGAGCTCAATTTGATATAAGAATACTTTCTCATATCGATCTTTGTTGATGATGGTCTCGTAGATTTGATCGTCACCACGAAGAATATGTAGAACAGGAATTGATACAGATAGCATATTCAGTATGGTCATCGCTCTAGATAACCTCTAGACGTATGTTGTTTGCAGTTCTGTGTGCGAGCCAGCTCTTGGTGCCGATGTGCAGCGATTACGTATAATCTGGCCAAAGGTTGTCCGGAATTGTCTTGACATCGAGCAGTAGAGGATAAAATTTATGGCGCCATTTAGAAGGGCCAAAGCATCCATTAACTCCCCGAAAAGGTCGTAGCACCTTTTGAAAAAGCACCGACCCAACACTCCGCTCATTAGACCTGACAAAAAACAACAATTCACATTATTTATAAGAAATATTTGTAACAGGTAAACGACAGTAAATAAATCAACCACTATGAAGTTCTATAAAAAAACACGACGCAAAAATGAAGGACCACTTGAATCATTTGAATAAAAATAATTAAATATAATGTCATTAAATCTTTTACAAAAATCAAGAAACATATGACATTAATAATAAAAACATAAAAGAAGTGGGATAAGAATACTAAGAATTATAAAATCTAGGCAATTAAATGGCAAGTCAAAAACTTAGTAACTTTTCCCGGCCGAAGCTGTTGCAAAAGCAAACTCATTCATTAACTTCATATCATTAATTACAGTAATTCATTAATAACACTTATTTTCAAATTTTGAACAACATTAGTGAATGGCTTCCTTCGAGATGTCTGTTCCGTTGACTTGCCTCGGGCGTTTGGTTCGTAATAAAGAAATAAGCCAACTTAAAATTTATTCTCGGTGAAATTTCCATTCTGCGTATTTAAAGTAAGCTAAATTACTTTATCTCAATCAGACTTTTGGTAGAAAGCATCTTCAAAAATTGTTTATCAGTTAAAAGTACTTCCATTTATTTTAAACTCTAGCCCATTTTCATTTAGATATCTGAAAGTCCAAGTCATCGTAGTTATGTCAAAAATGATAAATAAAATAATACCCAAAGTACACGACAACCGGTGCTAATTATAAAAATAGCAATGCACTATATAATATGAACAGATATTCTATTTTTGAACAGGTCTTAAACATTTCTTTTAATATGAAAGAAGAATCGAGCCAGGTTAATGTGAAGATCCCTTTTGGCTTGATTCATTAAAATACTTTTCGAATTCCTTGGGAGACAGCTGTCTTCTTCGTGTTCGGACATTACCCTCATCTAGTTTCTAGCTGAAAGCTATTTTAAAAAGGGAATGGTTTCTAACAGAATTTACATACATTTTCATATTCTTAACAAGTGCCATGGTTATTACATATTGATAAATTAATTAATTAAGGATATATATGTTAACTTCGGTTTTAACTGTGGTAGGGCCACGCAACAGTGTTCGCTGTTGCACGAATGGGCACGTCCATCCGGGCTAGTACCACGACCTCACAGAAGACCGGCGTAAAGTAGAAGTGTTACACTTCTGCGTTTCGGCTGGTGAGTGTAGCCGGGGCCTACTTTATTATAAAGATGGCAACGCATCTGCAACCCTACGGGTGTTGCACATATCCATGGGCGGCGGTTATCACTTAAAATCAGGTGAACCGCCAGCTCATTTGCCACTTTGTTGCATAAAAAAAACTAGTGTAAGTTTTAAAGCATCATAATAATGGGGAATATTTTTGCAAATTAATATGCTATTACTAATAATAAAGATACGTAAAAGGAATTTTAAAAAGATACAGAATAGGATTTGAAATACCTTTTCCGTATTTCAGATATCTTACTTCAAAAAATCGGAAGGAAAGGTCATGTCACATGTTACGGAAGCTACAGATGATATTTACCTTCGAGAGTTTACCTATTTCATACAAGTCATTACATCAAATTTTAGTTTTGTTGTTTTATTTTACTTATGGTTGATAAAGTTACTAAGTTATTGGTTATACATTGGCAGATGGGGCATTTAGATATTTGCTCCTAAGGAGGGTTGAAGTTAGGAACACGACCGATCGTAAATAACTTAGCTCACCTTAACAATAGGATTCACATGTTTTAGTGAGAAGTAATCCAAAGAGGAAAGAAGAATAATCAAATTTCTACTCTTTGGGACAAACACAGTACTAACCTAGGATGCCCTGTGGAAATTCTGTCAATAGAAACAACAGGAGAACGGCAACCAGCATCTTTGTAGTGCGGTCGGTTCTTTTTTCGGCCTTGGAACGTTTCGTGGGCTTCCTGGTGAAGACATTGCCATTCCCATTGACCACTGTGGGGGCGGGGCAAGCGTTATAGCCCTTCAGCATTCTCTTCCGGCTGTTCGCCCGATACAGAACGCGTATCAGCCAGGCGCTGATGATGGTCAGTATCACGCACGGTAACAGCTTTATGAACACGGCGTGAACCCAAAAGTTGAGCTGGTAAAGCACTCCATCATAATTTGAATCGACGTAGTAAACTTTAGACGCAACCTTAGTGGCACTTTTGTCGATGGAGACGTCGTTGTGTATCGTGAATACCTGGAAATAAAATGTCAATGTGGTATTTGCTCAATATTTTAAATTTTCGTGTGCCTAATACTGGCAAGTGTGTCAATAATAAGAGTTTTCCTTTTTATTATTTTTTAGACATATTATTTTCAGTGTATATCTGTATATATAATAATGAATCCCTATTGCCCTTGGTCATGCCATTGGCTGGACCGATTTCACTGTATTTGTTGTGTTTGTTACACAGGAGAACGTTCTTATAAAAGAAAAAAATTAAAAAGATTGCTTGAAAAAGTCTAAAAACAACACTTTTCTATATTCCTACTTCGCCTATTTTAGAGTAAGAGAAAAATTCTTTAATGGGATTAACGAAGAAATTATCGAAAATGTCGAACGAAACATTTTAATTTATTGTGTGTTTGATTATAAATGAACTATGTTTTTAAGTAAAGTAAAAAAAAGTAAAGTAACAGCCTATACATGTCCCACTGCTGGGCAAAGGCCTCCTCTATAGAGAGGGTATCAGGGCATAGTCCACCACGCGGCCCCACTGCGGGTTGGCGGACTTCACATATCTTCGAAATATATTTTTTTTTGTTATTATTTCGAAAATATGCAGGTTTCCTCACGATGTTTTTTCCTTCACCGCGGAGCACGTGATAAGTCAGCACTTAAAGTTAAAAACTTCATTGGTGCCGGCACCGGGGATCGAACTCAGGTTGCTCGAGTATATTGAATTAAAGGCGAGCGCCCGGACACTGAGCTATCACGGCTCTTCTGTTTTTAAGTAACATTATATAATTTGTTTTGTATTATTATATAAAAAAAACTTATGATTTTACTAAAAAAAAAAAGACCTGAAATGATAAATTATTTCACCAAATTTTAAAAAAGTATTACATTAACACGCTTATCTCGAATAAGGAACAAGATTAAGGAGATGATACATTTAATAAAAACTAAGTTACTAAAATTTATATAGGAATACAGATACAAAGCTCTCGAATCCGTATTTTAGCAGAGGCTAAAGAACCAAAAAATCTGATCAAAAGATCAAATGAGAATCATTATTTTCGTTACATTGTTCGATAAAATCATTCTATGCCTTTGCCATTTTTGCAAAGGAAATGTCAAAATCTAAATTTCTTTATTTAATATAGGCTTATTTTAAGCTCTTATTAAACGTCAAAAAACTACCACTGGTTTAACAAAGTAGACCTGTCTAGAATAGATCCGGCAAGAAACTCTGCGGTCTTGTTATCTTTTTTTATTTAAATTATATAAGTACACAAAAGTATTTAAGTATTAAATTAGCAGCAGCCAGGACACTTACAAGTGCAGAGGAAGAGTCATTTCTACATATCCTTGTCCTCAACGTATTCTTCGACGATATAATAGCCCCTTTCCATTAAAGTAGCTTTTACAAAATGTTTGAAATTATTTCTTGTTAATTGTTTGTGGAACAATGTTGCAGCATCATTTTTATTCAAATTCATTTATTTACATTCAAAAAGTATACGGTATATTTAGGATATATAATCTCTGTATTGTAATGATTAACGAGTAGTCTCTAAGTTCCATGTGTTTTTATCGTATGTATTTAATGCTCAAGTATATAATTCTGCATTACTGAGTGAGATTTTACGCAACCATAGAAACCCGTTCATTTAGTTTCAACCGAATGTAAGCGTAAACATTAATCATCTCAACCCAAGTCACGTTAACATAATAAGATAAAACAAACTCATAAACTTCAAGCGTCTGATTGGAATAACGTACATGTATTATACATGTTTTTTCTTTAAACATGGACGGCATTGGCACACTCGTTTTAATTTTTTTTCACGAAACAGATTATTTACACACTAAAATACTCACAAAGTATGATGGTATGCATAGGATTGGCGGCAATAGAAAGCTTATCAAAATAGCTATTGAGCAGCGCCGATCGGTACATAAAGAAGGTCCATGAGAAGGATACCTGAAATTGTATATACATTTTTTAATAATGTATTAAACATTTGCACATATTATGCAAATTGTTGTAACCTATAAAAATTATAACAAACAAGTAACTTTTCTGGTATTCAAATCCCATGTACTCGTACAGATTCAGACATAAGATACGTATTATTCGTGACATATGCTGATACAGGTCACGCCAAAGAATCTAGTACTTGCTGCAACAGATTGAAAAAGATAATTGTGAGGAACCTAAAGTACGGAATAATTTTCAAAGTTTTCGTTATCACCATTATCAGCCTGCGTCAGTCTCACTGTGATAGGACCACGCAACCGTCTTCACTGTTGTACGAATGGGCAGGTCCGTTCAGGGAAGTACACATCTGTGTTTTGTTTGGTTATTGAGGTATTCGGGGCCAAATTTATTAGAGCCCACCATGTAACAAAAAAAAAACAAAAATAGTCAATCTAGTGATGGATATAGGCATAGACCATCAACCGGGATAGACTAACTCTTTAACTACCTTCCTTGCCGCGTTCCTGAAGGTAACTACAATGGAGACGACAAGTTCGTTGGTCGTAACTTTTGTCTTTTCCTAATTTATTCGAAATTCCACAGATTGAGATTTAAGCTTTTGATAAAAACCCTCTAGCGATATGTGTTGATGTCCGAAATATCTTGAGTAGTGTTGAATTAAAGGGGCTCGCCAGTCATGCACGTCATGAACAGATTTTTTTGTGAAAAGTTGCCAAGCGAGCAGGCGGTTTACCTGATATTAAGTGAATACTGCTGCCCATGGACATCTACTACTTCCGAGGGTTGCAGATACGTTGACAACCTTTTGGCACCGGCTACCTCACTCGCCAGACGAAAGGCGATAGTATTATATTATACTTTCAGTTCACGCCGCTCTTCTGTGAGGTCGTGGTACTTACCCGGACGAGCCTAACTATTCGTGCAACAGCCGAGGCTGCGGCGTGGCCCTACCACAGAGATTGCGTAAAAAATTATTAGTCGCTTAAAAATACAAACTATCCATTTTAGCTTAGATCTGTGGCTTCGAAGAGTCGATATGGCCATCCTCTTGCTTAAGCTTAAGTGATTAGGTATATACGGCTGGCGGAGCAAGGGATTTTGTTCAAGATTAATGCATTTAGTATTAAAGTTACTATCTCTTGAGATGCTGTCTCTTAATTTTTACGTAACAGCCAAATACACCATTATTTGGCTTCAAGAACTTTACTCTGGGTCCTAAAATGTTTTCTATCTACAACATGTAAAATTGCCCCGATATTTTAGGCAGCCTCGTCTACAGTAGCTTCCAACAAACTAAGTCGATTTTGATGTTCCAATTAGACCTTCTTCGAAACTGGAATGTTTTGAGGGGGAGTCTGCTATAGAGAGCATGTAGGTAATAACCTGTTACTAATCAATGACACAACCTTAAATATATGCTTCTTATCCGATATAATGAAATCGCTCCCTTTGCAAAAAAAACAACAACAACAGTTGAATATTCCTTCGGTGCAGAGTAGAATAAAAAAAAATGTAAAATAAACTAAAATATAAAATGAAGATACCTAATTATTACACTTCAACTATAATGGTGAAAGCGATACAGATTGATTTGAATCTTGTTTTCAAGAGTAATTTTAAATTTTTGCAACAGCGTAAAAAATGCATGCAATTTCAATGTTAAATTGTTTTCTTTGCCACGAATATCTTAGAAAGAATCTTACAATTTAAATAGAAATGTTACTAAGCAATATCTTAAAATAACAAAAATTCATGGTTTGCGCTGAAGCCTGAACATGACATATTTCTACTTCATTTATTGCGCTTTGCGAAACACGATTTACTTTATTATGAGTAAAATGGGAGAATAAATCTAGCAACTTGTTAAATTTAATATATTTTATGTAATGATACTAGTTAAATTTAATAAAATAGATTTGAATAATTTCATTCAGATGTTATTTTTTATTGTTAAAGTAGGGATTAGGAAATCTTAACAAATTAAAGAGCGTGTTGATATACCATTTATAAAAGTCTTACTTGATTGCAATGTACCGCCATATCGCGAGGGACAGTGTAAGCAGTATGGATGCAGTGTGCAAGAGTTGGGTGAAATGCATATGGAAGAGCATATATACGGCCCACGCATACGGTCGTTCCTCTTGCCGTGGCAGCAACTGTGAAGAAATATCACATCATGAATGATGATGATAATGAAGTAACCTTAACTTACTAGGACCGAGTTTCATCAAGTTAGTTACTATTTATTCCATTTTAATCTAATAGTACTCTGCTCAGGTACATTAATTTATCAAATCTTAAAGTCAAAATTAAAAATCGTTCAAAAGTAACCTCAACTCAAATCTAATGTGCAAAATTCCCAGAGAGAGCCGACTTCTAAATAATTATGAATATAAACTGATATAGTCTCAATACCTTTCGTATGCACTTGCAAGAAACCATTTTCGATGAGTAGATTAGTCATATAGCATAATTACATATTTTTAATTAAGTCGCAATTTTTTTTAAATATTTTTACTACCTTTTTTTAATATTGTACACATTTCTAATTTTTAAGTTTATTGATGTTACTTGATATACTTCGCATGTGGTGTTTACCTTTAATTAATTGTGCATTGAGCTATAGAAATATACTGTATACTAATTCTAATCCCTACTAATAATATAAAGGCGAAAGTTTGTATGTATGGATGGATGTTAGTTACTCTTTCACGCAAATACTATTGAATGGATTTTAATGAAATTACAATAATATAGCTTATACATCAGAATAATACATATTCTATACTTGAAGTACATATTTTATGTATATCTGTATTTCTGCTTAATGTTACACCTTCAGCCTATTCTACACAAACGAAATCGCGGGCAGCAGCTAGTGAATGTATAAATGTAACAATTGCTGGTAAACCAAATATATAAAAATAAAAAAAATAAATAAAATTCAGTAGCGTGCGTAAAGTTTCTATTCTTATAAATCGAGCGTTAATTTTTCGGTCGCCAAAAATTGCATAGTGCTAACTATCTTTATCAAATAACTATTTAATAAAATAACTGAACCAATACATACATCCTTACTAATATATAAATGCGAAAGTTTGTATGTATGGATGGATGTTTGTTACTTTTTCACGCAAATACTACTGAATGGATTTTAATAAAACTTTACAATAATATAGCTTATACATCAGAATAACACATAGGCCATAAATTAAATACATATTTTTATGTATATAGGTGGTAATTTGGAACCTGCTGATAATATGGAACCCCTTAATATCCCAGGAACAGACAACGAAATATGTTGAAAACCTATGAAATTACGTCGAACTGATGTCATTAAACGTATTAACGCTACTGGCGCTAACTATAAGAAATTTTGTGTCACCTGCAAATGTTTTTTACTTTTATTTCCTAATAATGTCAAAACTTTTGTTTCTGTCTAAAAGTAAAAACAATACGAGTTACACGAAGTATATACGCATAAGTTCACATTGTCAGGGGTAAGTTTTAAGATTAATTTTAACTAGTTTTTGTTATCTTGATTATTTGGTAACAAAGTAAGGTTTTAATTTTGGAACTCCATAGGTGCAGGTAATATGGAACCGGGTTCCAAATTAACCGTATTACTTTATTGGCCGGGTCTCCTTACAAACAGCAACTTGAGTAGTCAATCAAGTCTATAGCGCAGAGAGGAAGAAGTCGGGGAAGAGGTCGGGGAAGAGCTCGTGGGCGCAAAATTACTCCTACGATCAACAGGGTGAAACTTGGATTCAGTGCCAATCATGTAGGCTGTGGCCACATATTGAATGCTCAGGATGTGACGCGGAGTATTATATTTGTGATTTTTGTATGTAAATTTATTTCATACTTTTTTTACATTTCTGTTGCACGAATGGGCAGGCTCGTCCGGGTAAGTACCACGACTTCACAGAAGACCGGCGTAAAGTGCAAGTACAATAATTTCGTGTTTCGTCTGGTGAGTGAGGTGGCCCAATTTCCAAAAAGGTTGTCAACACATCTGCAAACCCTCGGGTGTAGCAGATGTCCATGGGCGGCGATATTTAGTTAACATCAGGTGAACCGTCTGCTCGTTTGGCAACTTTTCACATAAAAAAAGACTTGTAATTTGGAACCCGGGTTCCATAATACTAGCACCAGAGCTTTGAACACATTTTTTTATTTTTCCAAGAAAGCAATTTTTTTCCTAAAATGAGTGATTTTATTTTATAAATTAATTTCTAATATAAAAGTCTATAAGTTTTTAAATATAAAGAGACAATTTTGTGATAATTAGTCACATAGTTTTCTTAAAATACTCAAAAAAGTGGGGTTCCAAATTACCACCCCCTCCTCTACCTGTTTTTCTATCTGAATGTTACGCTTTCAGCCTATTCTACGAACGTAGTCGCGGGCAGCAGCTAGTCTTGTATATTTATACATGCACACCTCAATGATGTAAACATATTAACTTACCATATACCTGTAAACGGTGAAAGGCACGTACTCAAGCATAACGAAGACGTCGGCCACAGCAAGCCATTTTAGGAGACGATTTATGGGTGCTGTGGCTAAATCACGCCGAGTCAGCACGACCACATTAAAAGCATTCGCTAGGCTACCAAAAAGACAGATCTGTGGATAAAGAAGATAATGGGATTCATGTTGTGCCTTAGAGTCGTAATCCTATCTTATTATATGATGCTAGATGTTAAGTTCACTAGAACATCAAAAAAATCCTGCATATCATCATAAAAAACTGGTGATATCCAAAAACAAGTGACTGTGAAATAACTTAAAGAAAGTATTTTTTACTTTCTTTAAGTTATTTCACAGCTCTAAAATGTAGTACATCGGAGTACATCGGAGACCAAGAATTCTCAAGGTGGTTTTCATAGCTTGCGCAGTGTTTAAAGCCATTTAATGAAATTTAAGGGGAAAGGTGTAAATTTATTAGTCAGAACTTCAACAAGAACTTAATTAATTGAAAATAAATAAGTACTAAGCTAATTATTCTTAATTAATAATCGACCTATCTATGTAATTAAAGTTTGAAACATTCTTAATAAGCATCTATTGAAGGACTTATTTACAGTATAAATATTAAATGAATTTTTAAAGTAGCAGGTCCGAAATTAAATTGACAATATAAAAAGGGCGAACTCAACAAATATTTCAATACTAGAAGTTACAAAATCTTACCAGTAAACTAACATAGCCGTGGATGCGGTTATATGCTAATAAAACATCTCTAAATTCGCCTGTACAATATTCCGAACGGTGGCACTCTTTCGTAACAGATATATTGTACAAGTTCCTCATATCCTCCAAAGCCCTCAGGAGTTCTTTAATCTTCGTGCTGTCATTGCTGCCACCACGTTTCAAGATGGACGTCAGCCGCGTGTCATCAAACAGGCTGAAGTTGGCGCCAAAAGTTCCGTTGGTCTCGGCATAACTGTGGCGGGCGTCGTGATCGGCAAGCATTGTGCTCACGTTCCGTCTCTTTGTTCATCACTTAGCACTAATAGTCGGTTTGATGCCTCTTGCTCCGAACCAGATATAGATGTTCCAACATTGTGCAAAGGATCATCAAAATGTTGCGATGTTTACCCACCGCGAGAATAAAAGACGCCTGCAAATAAATGTAGCGTTTCATACATTACTCAAGTAGACGTATATGTGAAAAAAAATAATTTTTATGTCCGTACTTTGACTATTTGAAATAAATCAATGTGAGTAAATTTCTTGTACACCGAGAAATGAAAATTAGATAACGGTTATTGAATTTCGCTTAACGTTTCCTTCGGTTCATATTTCAACGAGGCCAATTCATGCTAAAGTTTAGATATCAGACTTGTAAAGAAATTACTTTTTCGGTTTTCTTAGCATGTAGTTAATAATTATAATCTTATCCTTTAAACGAGCAATTCTTGTATATATATATATATATATATATATATAATCGGAATCTCGGAATCGGCTCCAGCGATTTTCATGAAATTTTTAGTATGTGCGTAAATTCGGGGGCGAAAAATCGATCTAGCTAGGTTTCATTTTTAGAAAATGTCCTTTTATCCCTGTTTTCGGGGAATGATAAATATCATTCGAATATGACGGTAAATTTCGCCGCAAAAGAAAATGTTATAATAGCTCGGTCGGTAATCGGGCGGCCCCAAAACAGACGGCAGTGGTTCGTGTCACGATCATTTACACACTCTTTTTTTTTTTTACTTTTTTTTTCGATTCCAGATCATTGCTTTCTTTATTTTTTATTTTTTGTTGATCCAGATGATTTTGTAATTTTTTCCCTTTTTTTTAAAGTTGTTTATTTTGTGAAAAACATCACTTCATATTTTCTTATTATTAGGTCGGTAAGATCCAAAAATATTATGCATATTTCATAACTCAGTAAATTGTATATAAATGTAATTTCCAAAATACACGATTTATAAAAAAAAAAAACAAACCGAGCAAAGCTCGGTCCTCCGGGTACTACTTTATTATGTGGTCTATACAAAAATACAAAATTGTATTAAACTCAATACATAAAAATACATGTTACCATATTTATAATTACATGAATATATAATAACAACAGGTATCAGATGAATATTTGGTGTAATTCTGTCTGTCCATCCAGTTTTTCCAAATCAAATTTTCATCACTTTGTATCTAATGTTTTTAGCAAGACAATGATTTCTAACATTTTATTATTATAGTAAGTGTTGACAAAAATTCATAAAATAATTAAGGGTCATTTTATGAATTTATATCAACACATGCTATGCTCTACAAAAATAACCGAGTTCTCAAAATTGGTACGTTTATGAATATGTGATAAGCAAAGAAAATATTAAACGTGATTACATGAAAAATATTATTTATCTATACTTTTATACAATAGTTTGAATCTTGTAAAATACAGGGTGTATTGTATTAAAATAAAGTAATTGTTTAAGGCATTTCTTTCAACCAAAACGACTTGATAATATCTTCATTTACAAGAATAGTCTATGGTTAAAGCAAAAACAACAGTATTTAAATAACAACACCAAATTTATGAACAGCCGTGTAAGACGCAAAACCACCCGACACGCCACACATCGTTATTCTCCAATGCTGCCTTTATGAGAAAAGGTTTTATGAATAATTCACAACTAACATTCTAATATCAATTTTGCATTACAAAATTAAAAAACAAAACCCGTCATGTTATAATTATGTACACATTAAATTTCTATTAAAATTTTACTTTTCTCTACTGTCAGGTAAGGGCAGTATCATAGACCAAAATGTTATTTACCAGTAAAATCACTGTAACTGTTTAATCATTCATCGATAATATTGGGAATTTCATTATCAAATATACAATCTTCACACACTTTGTTGATGTACAATACAATTGAGAACTCGATGGCGCTGTTGCAAATCTGTTGTCTTGTATCTTGTATCTTGTATTAACTGATGTTTTTGCTTTCAGTCCCGAGACTATTAAAGCTTCATCGGACGCAGAACCGGGAGGCTAGCCAGAACCCACGGGTTTGGACCCTCCGCTATGGGTAGGGTCGCGCATGTGCTCATGCGTGCGTTTAACTACTATGGTGTGTCATCTAAGGGCCGTCGAGGTCGCCGGTTCGGACCGAGACCCCGACGGCCGTCGACTGTGCATTTAGCTAATCGGTGGCTGGGAGCGGTGAGAGAACCGCCCCGGAACGCGGATGTACCTTGTGTACGCGTTGTGTGGGTTTCGCCGTGCTCGGAGGCGAGGGCAAACTGGTGTGATTGTTGTTACACTACCTGTGGGTGTAGTGTTATCCGGCGGGACCCCCGGCGGTGGGTCCATCGTATCTAAGTCCTCTTCGTCGACCGGGTCGATGAGGACGTTT